TTTGTTATGCTAGATATGCCACTGAGTCCTATTTGAAATTCAGAGATACAGATTCTATTCTCAAGAAGTTTAGACTCTAGAGTGATGTTAGATGGTAGAAAATATACCAGGTATCTCTTAGGTTGATAACTCAGCCACCAGAAAAGTCACCCCACTCTTCCTCTGGGTGCTACTCCTCTCCCATCCTTAGGATTATAGCAAGGGAGTTCCTGGCAACCATGTCACCTAACAGCTAGGATGGACTATGAATGGGGAGCAGTCCACAATGATCCAGTGAATTATTTCCCTGGGGCTTTAAGAATAAGAGATTACTTTGTCTACCGGTAGTGACTAGGTTGGTAATAGGTACATACTGGACCTTTTAGAACCATGCTTTTTTACATGGATACTAGATAAAAGGAGGAAATTAATCTGTAGAAAGAAAGGTAAGAGCAATGAAAGAAGAGAAATGAGCATCAGAGAGACATCTCTGGTAGTAGTATTTGAGCCCTGGTAGTATTTGAGTCCTGGTAGTATTTGAGTCCTGATAGTATTTGAGCCCTGGTAGTATTTGAATCCTGATAGTATTTGAGCCCTGGTAGTATTTGAGCCCTGGCAGTATTTGAGTCCTGGTAGTATTTGAGCCTGGAAGTATTTGAGTCCTGGTAGTATTTGAGCCCTGGTACTATTTTGAGTCCTGATAGTATTTCAGTGTCTAATTTCATCTCTTTCTAGAGGTTCAGCTGCATCCTTGCATCCTTGACCTTGAGCTCCCTAAAAAATCCCAGAAAATAGTCCTCTTTTTTTTTTTTTACTCAGGCTAACTCCAAAGAGTTTCTGATACTACAACCAAAAGAGCATTCTTTACATGGAGAGAAAATAGACAGTACCCCAAGGGTTTTCAGGCTCCAGAATTCAAAATCCAAAGCCAAAGAGACAACAAGGCTAGAGGAGGGCAGCCAAACATGAGAACAATTCCAGAGAAGGAGCAGGCTTAAAACAAGCCCAGGCTTTATTGGCCATCACAATTACCATATTCCTGGACACATCTGCTCCTGCTGTCACACCAAGAGCCCCCACCAGCAAATGTTCCATCCTAGATGCTCTCTTCAACAGAATGTGAAACATCTATCAGTCTCAGAGGTAATTACTATAAAATTTTTATAGTACTAGACAAAAATTCCCATCTTTATCCTTCAAAAATTCCAGAGGTTCCAAAGATTCTAGTTTCCTGTTACGGTAGGATAGCTGAGCTGGATAAAGAAGTATTGAAGGGGGAACCTGAAAGATGGGATGATGACAAAGTCTGGGGAATACGCTTCACCAGCCAGCATGTGTTTTTCCCTGATCTTTTGTCCTCTTTCTACAAGACTGGCCATGTCCCAATGAAGGCTGCTCCGTCCACCTAAACCCCAGAGTGAGGACAACATGAAGCAGGGCTGCACCTGGCCTATTAGAAGCCTGTGGTGTGAGTGTGTAGCCTTTGAGATCTGGAGGTCCTTTGTTGCCACTGCATAATCTACCCTATCGTCACTAATACCTTGCTTTGTGAGCCTGAGTTCTATAAAAGCAGACCCTGCCTTGTATGACTTCTACCTCCAGCACCTAGCATAGTGCTAACACATAATAAACATTCAAGTAATATTGAACAATGAAACCTTTCTGGATTTCATCTGCAAAATAGAGGAGATGGAGTAGATATTCTACAAGTTATCTTCAAATGCTAGAATACTGTGATAATTTCAGAAAGGGTTCTATGTTTCTTTCTGAAATGCTCACATGCCAAGGCCTCACTTCAGTCTGAATTTCCTTGCTCTTGTAATGAAAAGCCTTAGTACATTGCTGTATATGCTTATGGCGTTTCAAGAACTGCTTAAAGTTTTGAAATACTAGTGCAATCAGTCTACACAGGCAAGAAATTAAATACTAAGAATGTCTTATCTGTCTCTGAGTTTTGGGACCCTGAGTAATGTCTCCAATCCCCACCCACTATTGCTGCTGATTTAGGCAGGCATACCTGCTGTTCAAAGACCATCTGAAATTACCTCCAAGAAGGAATTCTTTTGACAATGAGGCTTATAATTAAACAGTAATTGAAGTTTCCTGTGGCTTTATGCGTGGGTCTTATCTAATGCCTAAGTAGATGAACTGTATGGTGTAAAGATCAGAATAGAATTAAATGTTCTTACAAGTGAGAGGAGGTCTCTGCTCAGCAACCTTGTTTCTTTAGAACTCAGTTCTAGTATTACAGAAGGACAAGGAAGCAAAGAGAAATTGGAAAAGGGGAATAACAAGAACAGAACTGGCAGAACATCTGTATCTGTTTGTTAAAAATAAATAAAATATAGAAGAGTCTACAAAGGAGCCTACAAATGAGTGACCAGGGAGGTAAGAAGAAAATCAGGATAGAATGGTATTAGTAAAGGCAGAGGAAGAAAGGGTTTTGAGATAGGAAAGTGTTCAATAATTATAGCGCACGCACTGCATTGCTTCCTCAAAATTAATTTTTCCCTTTTTCCTTATCAACAAAACTCTGACTTTTTTGCAGAGCATCCATGAGTCTGGTAAATAAACAAATAAGTGAACCATTTCCCAGGACCCTCTGTATACATTCTGACATTCTTCTGGTTGATTATAAGCAGATGCCCATCTACTTGGAGGGACAGGTGGGAAAACTATTATGTTCCTGATACAAGTGGCCAAACAGCAGGCACCTCGCTTTTGCCATTTGCCTTTTTTTCCTTTCTCTTTTGTTAAATGATTCTGTACCCAAAGGTACAGCAGCTAGCTGATGGTCATGAACACAAAAACACACTAACTGGACGATGGGATGGAGAATGAGATGGAATCTGGTTCCTGATCCACTTAGTTGAAAAGGCGAGAAACTTGGGAGTCAGCTTTGGCTTCTGCCTTCATCTCACTTCACTAGGCACCAAGACGCTTGATTCAACCCTTAAATGCCCTTCAGAGATGCTTTCTTCTAACCACCCCTATCAGCCCAGCATTGTTCAGGCACACGTCTCGTCTTGCCTGACTAACAAGTCTCCCTGCCTCCAGACTGACCCCCTCCAACTTATACTCTACACTGCTGTCACTTTCTGTGAAAAATGGACTTTTGCATTGATCTCTGCTTAAGATACTTTCAGAGTTCTTCATTGCCTAATGGGTGAAGTCAGAAGTCCTTAGCGCCACAAGGAGGTCTTTTATGATTTGGCTCCCACCTTACATGATGAGGACACAGATTATAATGACAACTATGGAAAGGATATAGATATAGACATAGAGATACAGATGACATAGACATAGATATATAGAGGGGGTTTTCGTTTGTTTGTTTGTTTGTTTGAGACAGAGTCTCACTATGTGATCCTCAGTAGAGTGCTGTGGCATCACAGCTCACAGCAACCTCCAGCTCTTGGGCTTAGCCAATTCTCTTGCCTCAGCCTCCCAAGTAGCTGGGACTACAGGTGCCTGCCACAATGCCTGGCTATTTTTTGTTGTTGCAGTTGTTAGCTGGTCCCGGCCGGGTTTAAACCTGCCACCCTTGGTGTATGTGGCTGGCACTGTAACCACTGTGCTATGGGTGCCAGCCAGATCTATTGGTTTTTTAACAGGGACCATGTACCAAGCACTGTGCCACAAATTCTACATGTGTCTGATCTTCACAATACTTCCTCATATATTTGGTATTAATATTCTCAGTTTACAGGTAAGATGACTGATTCTCAGAAAGGTTAAGTCACTTGACCAGGAACACACAGCTAGATTAAGTGGGGGAAGGCCTAGTTGTCACATTTTTTCCACCAAGGCGGTGCCTTGACATGAAAGAATGGTACCCCTTGCCATCTTGTTCCCCACCGCCCTCCTCTACCCTGAATGGAAAGCCCTGTTGAGGAATCATGGCCAAAGCCAAGCTTGTCCCTGAGGCCAGAGGAATCCATTGCTACAGTGGACTGAGCAGGAAGAACACTTAGGTTCTGCAGGCCAGTTCCAGCAAGGAGGGAAAGAACTGCCCAGACCTGGAGCGGCATTCCAGGTGGCTCTGTCCTAACCAGTCAAGACCCCTTCTCTGAAAGCTGGGGGGAGGATAGGGGGTCAGTGCAGGCAGACCACTCCCTTGCCCCAGCCCTACTGGCACCACAGCGCAGTGGGAGTAGGACTGGGGATTTCAAGACCACCTTCTCCTGGGCCCACAGAGCTAGAAGACCAGGGGAAGGACTTTAGTATCCACCGAGCAAGACTCAGCACCCACCCCCAACACTAACTCAGTCTGGGCCAGGGGTGGGGAAACTGCGGCCTCGAGGCTACATGTGGCCTTCTAGGTCTTTAAATGAGGCCTTTGAACTCAAGTTTCACAGAACAAATCCTGTGCGCCCCAGCGGCAGCCCAGCCTACTCCCCTGCAAAGGCACTTTTCTCCGGCCACTGCCACCACCCAGCCCTGGACCAAGAGCAGTCCCGCACCGTCCCCTCAAGGGGTGCACAGCCGTCCACGCCCCTAGAGCCTCGAGGTTTAGAGAAAGGCAGTCATCCGTGCAGTCGGATCACCCAGATTATAACCAAAGAAGGGTGAAGAGTCGCCAAAGGACATCTCTAGCTGGCACCAACCCTTGGCACGCCAGATTGGAGCACTCCAACGCCTGCCCCTTGGGCAAACCGACCAGGGTGCGCGTCTTTGGCCACCGGCGGTCTCGCGCCCCAGACCTGCCCCGGGCACGGTAGCGATCCGACGGCCCTGCTCAGTCCTCCCCGGCAGCTGCGGAACACATCCGGCTGCTCCCGACAGCGGGACGAGAGCCTGGGCTGCCCTGCCGCCCTGAGTGGCCTCTCCCGGGGGTCTGACCCCTCGCGCCCCCGCGCGTCCTGCTGTGTTTCTGAGCGTGCTCCGCAAGTGATGTAACGGGGCCAGGCTCGCGCCGCTCTCCCTTTCCCACTCCAAGTCCTTCCTCCCCCCGCCCCGCCCGGCGCTCTGAGCGCAGAGCCAGCGCTGAGCTGCGCCCAGGCTCCGCTGCCTCAGCCCTGGGGACCGACGGGCGCTGCTGGGAAGACACTCTCCCACGTCCCACCTCCTGGATGCAGACTCAGTGGGGAAAACCAAGCTTTCCTCCCAGAACCAAGGGAGAGAGCCAGGGGACAACTGCTGTGGAGATTTCTGAGGAGACTCAGACTGACCTCTTTGCCCACTCCCCGGAGACGGCAGCAGCCCTCAGGTACCTCGGTGGCCCCGGTGGGTGCATGTTTATATGAGAAAGAGACAGCGGTTGCAGGGAGTGGGGGGAGAGTGAGAGATTGTAGGAGAAGGGAGAGAAGAAAGATTGCAGGAGAGACAGAGATGAAGACAGAAGACGAGTGGAGAGTCAGGGAGAGCAGGAGAGAGCAAGGGAGAGAATGAGTGGGTGGGTGGGAACTTGTTTGGATTTTTTTAACCCACTCTGGTTTCACCTGTGACAGAAGAGAGGAAGCCTACTCCCGGGCCAGCAAGCAGCCCCCGACCTGGATGGAGTGAAAGATGCGTCCTGATGACATTAACCCGAGGACTGGACTGGTGGTGGCCCTGGTCAGCGTCTTCCTGGTCTTTGGCTTTATGTTCACTGTCTCTGGGATGAAAGGGGAGACGCTGGGAAACATCCCCCTCCTAGCTATCGGGCCCGCCATCTGCCTACCAGGCATTGCGGCCATTGCCCTGGCCAGGAAAACCGAGGGATGCACCAAGTGGCCGGATAACGAGCTGCTGTGGGTCCGCAAATTGCCCTGTTTCCGAAAACCCAAGGACAAGGAGGTGGTGGAACTGCTGAGGACCCCTTCAGACCTGGAGTCGGGCAAGGGGAGCTCAGACGAGCTGGCTAAGAAGGCGGGCCTCAGGGGAAAGCTTCCCCAACAGGGGCAGGGTGAGGTCCCTCTGGCCAGCTCCATCACCAGCCCCACACGCACGGAGGAAGGAGAATGCCAGAGTCTAGTCCAGAGCGGACTTCCGGAGGAGACGTCCAGATACCTGGACGGCTACTGCCCCTCGGGCAGTTCCCTTGCCTACAGTGCCTTAGATGCTAAGTGCTCAGCCTGGGACAGATCCGACTGCCCTGAGCCCGAGGACAGTATCTTTTTTGTGCCCCAAGACAGTGTCATCGTTTGCTCCTACAAGCAGAACAGCCCCTATGACAGATACTGTTGTTACATCAATCAGATCCAAGGAAGATGGGACCATGAGACGATAGTCTAATCTCTGCATCCTATAAGGGTCGCTATATTGATAGAAACACAACTCCATGCAGCTCCCAATGGAAGGAAACTGCTCTGCTTCAACAGCCTTCACAGTTAGAAATTGACATGGTATGTGACGGGCATGCAAACCTCTGGTGCCTGAGAGTATGTAAATAGGCTTGTTGGGGACACACTTCAGGGAAGGGAGATGAGGGCTAAGGACACTAGAAGAGGCAGTGGGCAGGAAAGGAAGCTGCACCAATTGCTTCTTAACAATTTAAACAATGTTGAATGCTTTGTAAAATAACTCCAAAAGTGCTATCCAGCACCTGCTGAAAGCAAGATAAGTCTAGAATCAGCTGCAGATGCCAGGCATCAAATGATGCACGAGCTATCCACAGGGAAACTGAGCTGCTTATGTCTCAAGAAATTGACAGAAAAGCATTGATGTTCCATTTTATGAAATGATTTTTTTTCTGATGAAATGCTTCCCATGCTTGGCATTTCCTGAAAGAAAAAAAAAATCAGATAGCATAAACCCCCCTTAGATGGGATGATTGGGGAGACAGGGGAGTTAAATACAGTTGAATTATGTAACTGAGTTTTATGTTATTGTCTGATAAGATTATAGTTTCAAATAAAGTAAAATAAGTGTGACCAGATATGTGAAAAATTAATATTTTTAAATGCTTATGTTACATCTAAAACTCTTCATTTAAATTTATTTACTATGTCTTTATCAGAAAAATTTTTGAACATTTACTATCATTCATGTGCAAAATGACTTGATGTAATGTTTTCATAGATTAGAATTTGTTTTCATCAAGGCAAAATGAATTTTACATATATATCTAAGTGTTTTTAACATTGGGAAACATGAACTAGTAATCACTATTCCTATCTGCTTTCTAAAATCTGAAAACTATAAAGTGTTTGTATTAGTCCTGAACGTTGTGCAGAATTCATATGAAATGCAATGATTAAACCTTTGGAAGTGTCAGTATTTGTACATTTGTTCAACTCCCCCACAGACTATAAATGCCAGTGAACCAAAAGTTAATCTACTTGACTTAACTGAAGCCTAGATTTTATTAAATATAGCTGATTTGTGAACATTATATGATAAAAGTTTCTTTATTTTATATCTTTTTACTGCTGAAGAAAGATTTCATCTTAAGGATCTGAATTACTTTATAAATCCTTTAAAAAATGATGATTTTAAGTGATCAGATAGTTTTAGTTACTTTCTCCACAGGGGAATTGGACAAAAATTTTGGCACACCTCTTTCATGCATTTCAAGTCTAACTCTGCAGTTCCTTCCTAAGTGTAGCAGTTGTTCCATCTTAAGAATCACATTCTTGAAAATCAAGTTCAAGATCAAAAGTATACAATTTATTTAGTAGGACTTGAATGTCAAAATATGAGATGCATGATCTTGGGCAAATTTTTTCTCTTCAGACCTCAGTTTCCTACTCTATGAAGAGGTGGAGGACTGATTTACACTAGATTATGTCCCTCATTTATTCCTAGTTTGAATATTCTATGATATTATGTAAAGGCACTTTATATATTGCCAAGAAATGTGTTACAGCCAAATGCATGCCAAAGTTATGCAATTCATGATAAAAAGTATATGACACAGATTGAATTGCTACTACTCAAAAGAATTTTGTAGATGTATGAAAACAGTTGTGTTTTATTGCCAAAGATTACTTACTCAATGCAATACATTCCTGAGACTAAAATGAAGATGTTAGGAGTAAAATATTTTTGAAGAAAACATTTTAAATGTTGGTATAACCCAAAGTAATCTAATACATAGCCTTGGCATTAAATGTCATTGAGGAAATGAGATGGAGAAAGATAGTTTTCTAAAATCACAATACATTTTAATAATTCTAATCCATCTTGAAAGTAGGAAATCATATTGTTTTTAAAGGTGAAAATTATCAGATAGTTTAGGAATAAAATTGTAGTTGCCACCATGGACATTATTAGAGGTGAGGAGATAATGAGACAGAAAGATGTTCCCAGAGACTCAGCAAATACTCCAGAGTCTCAAAGAAGATGCTCATGCTGTCTGGTGTAGTTTTAAGGTTGGAAAAGTTACTTTCTGGTTTCCTGGAACCAGCTCCAACTCCTTCATATTGTATCATTCTCACTCTCTCTTTTTCTGCTCCCCAAATCAAGGGTTATCTACTGCTTTACCGATAATAGGTATTTTACCACATTTTCAAGTTCTATTTCAAACAAAAAAATACTTGTTTCAGATTTCTTCTTCTATCTATCTGTTTAAGATACTTAATGTATCTAAGTATAAGCATTTGAGGAAATATTGTCTTGTGCTAAAACACATGTATGCAAATGTTGGGATGGTAGGTTTAACTTCGTTTGACCAGAAAGAATAAAATATGTGGTTGTGTGTGTAAATTTTTCTAGTATCTTATATTAAGCAATCCCATTCTATATGCAACAAAGTAGCTTGATACCCCTTCCCCCATACAACACTTGTAAGTACAATTCAAAGTACAGTTGTGGTTCTTTTCAACAGGGGTGGGGGGAAAAGTGAATAAAGTGTTTCAGCCCTTAATAGGAAAAGACAGCAACTCATTTCAATGAATTGTTTTAGGAAATTTTTACAAATTGTTCATATTAATACGATAGACATGAGGATTGCTCCTGGTAGCCTTTAAAGCATATAGACAGATACAAATTTAAGTAGGTATTAGTTTTATTTTGCTATTAATCCCAATAGTCATTTCACTTGATTTTAAATAGGCATTTTATTTTTCAAATTTCTCCATTGAGTTTCTCTTGCTCTCTGTCCCTACTTATTATCATGCACATGAGTTCTTTTTCCAAACTATTTCTTGATTCATAAGTGTGAATCCAGCCAAGATACCCAAGCTGGAACATATTAGACAACTATTTCAAGACTTATTTTGTACTGCAATCATCTTGGCAAACAAAATCCAGATATAGTCAAGTTCAGGCTCTTTTCCAAACCCTGCTAACCAACTCCTTTGAAAATGTTTTCAGGCTGGGGCACAGTGGCTCATGCCAGTAATCCTGGCACTCTGGGAATCCAAGGGAGGATCATTTGAGCTCAGGAGTTCAAGACCTGCCTTAGCAAGAGTGAGACCCCTGTCTCTACTAAAATTAGAAAAATTAGCCAGGCATCATAGTGGATGCCTGTAGTCCCAGCTACTTGGGAGACTGAGGCAGGAGGATTGCTTGAACCCAGAAGTTTGGGGTTGCAATGAGCTAAGCTGATGCCCAACACTCTAACCTGGGCAATAGAGTAAGACTTTGTTGAAAGAAAGAAAAGGAAGGAAGGAAGGGAGAGAGGGAGAGAGGGTTTTCAATATTTTGAATCTTAATACCTACTGAACTGGCAGATATAAGAAAGGAAGACTCTTTTAAATAATTTTTTCTCTTTTGTAACATCCAATTTCTGCTTATTTATTAATATCTCCCCCTCTGTACTCATAGCATTATTTATTTGGTGAATTCGCCATTTTTATACTATTATTTTATCACATTAAAGAAAATATTTTTGAATATCCATAATCTCACTATCCTGAAAGAACTACTATGTTTCTATTTGGGGCATATTATCTTCCAGGCCTCCTCCACATGCATATGCAGCATATATCATAACAGCGTGTTTTTATTTTCTCTTTTATTTGTATTTGAAGCAGGTGTCCACATTTCTATACAATATTCCTAAGTATCAATGCACAATTGTGTCATACACCATTTCAGTGATGTTTCCTAATTTATCCTGCCATTCATTCTTGTTGGCCAGATATCAAGTTTTATGGATGGTTTTGTATCTTCTTTTTCTATTGTTGGTAACACTTCGACATTATTTGTTATATACCCATAGAGACAAAAGTTTCCTGTCGAACAGCCATCTCCTTATAAGTGGGAGAGAGAAAGGGGTAAATGATCAGACTCTCCATATAGTTGTTTGGGTCTTCTCTTCACTCATGTAAATGAAAGACACAGGGAAGAAGACAAAATAATGCTTCTTTAAAAAGGTCCTCCCACCAGACCAGAAAAGTATTTTTAAGAGATGAAACACCCCAGCTAAGATACCAGTAGTGTGCTTCTCAAATCAGATTACAGTGATGCCAGTCCTCAGAGCCTAATGCTCAGCAAACAAAAGGAGAAATAGACTTGAACAATAATAATTACTTTGAAATATGCCAAAAGCATTTTCTTAAAGTATCTCACAATATATAAAATACTGTATTTCATACGTATATATATTGTCACCCATCAGTGACTTACAAATGGATCACAATTTCAGGAATTCAATAGACTCTTCCAACAAGTTTTCTGTATTTCAGTTCCTTACTGGGAAAAACTAAACTGAGGATGAATATGGGGACAAATGCTTGGCTCAACCAAATATCTCAATAACTAAATTCCATTCAGCCTCTTGTCCAATTAACATCAAATCACGTAAACACCATTGAGTCTGAGATCACGTATTTGATTTCTCACAGCCTACCACAGAGTCTTTACTCTATGGGCACCCAACAGAAAGAAAAGTATACATAGTGCTGCCCGGATACTCACACAAACAGTAGGGCACCGAGGTTAGATACCCGTAGTCCTTGGCAAGCTGTTCCGGGGACTGAACTGACCCTTCTTAAGGATCTTTTCTTTATTTTTGCCCTTATTCCTTCTCCTCACCCCATATTAGAGCCCACAGACTTAGCATCCTCAGTGACAGTTCCAGAGTTTGCATGCTTTATCCCTAATAAGGAAGGTGTAGAGTTGCAGAACGACCTGCTTACAAAAGAGAACATAAAGATTAAAAATATCTTGTGTTATTCTTTGACAAATCTATCCCTAGATACTTAAATATAAAAAAAAAATTTGCAATTAATCACTTTCTTATTCTTCATGCTAATAAACTATTGTTTATAAGACAACTCTTCAGTCCGAGGCAAGACCACATTTGTTTGAGAAATTCAAGTTTTTAAAAATCACCTGCCTATAATTCA